TCACCAAAGGCTCGAACATCGGGGTACAACGATCCGGGTTCTTGATCCACTCCAAAGCAGTAAGACAATCCGATTCAAGAATAAGCCTTCAATTTGAAACATGGCCTATTTCCTCAATAAGAAGCAATCCTCTTTTAATTGCCAATAACTCAGCAAGGATAGGAGGACCAAAACCAACCCTCTCAGAAAACGAACCAAGCATCAAACCACCTATGCCTCCTTTAGCCCAGCCCTTTACCATCGCACCATCTACATTAAGTTTTGCGAACCTCGAAGGAGGAGGAACCCACCAAGACATAGAAGAACAACCCTTCTTTGATCTTCCCACGAAATCTGCTAATTTTGGGTCACCCACAAGTGAATCAAAAGGAATTTTCACATCTTTAAATCTAGCAACAAACCAAGCTGTAATTCTATAGCGAACAAGGAAGAACAACGTACCATCCAACTTCCCATCCTCAAAAATTATCTCATTTCTACACTTCCAAACCGACCACAAAACCGCCCCTGGAATGAAAGTCCAAATAGTGGAGCTCGGAACAAGATCAGCCCAAACAAAGATTAAAGCAATCAATTTCTCCGGAACAACAAAGGAAACATTCCAAGAATGCAAGAATCTAGACCAAATACCCCAGACCACCTCACAATGCAAAAAAAGATGGGAAACAGACTCCAAAAACTTACCACACAGCGGACAAAGGGAATCCACAATCCCTGCCACGCCACGCTTCAACAATTCCTCTTTAACCGCCACTCTCTGATGGGCAACCTGCCAAACGAAAGTTTCCACACGGGGCGGGGCTACCCTGACCAAACATGTCTTACCAAGTACCATCAGTAACATCAGAGCCCACCCTATCGAAATATTTCCTAATGCATGAATTAGCTCAAAAACAGCCCTTCCTATTTCCTGTCCACACCCATTTCCTGTCCACACCCAGCAGTCTTCCACCGAAGCTGCCAAAGAAATACTATTCAACAAAGAATAAAGCAAAAGCCATTGTTCTACCTCCCAATCAACCAGATTCCTTCTCATTTGAAGATCCCACAACCAACCTGAAGAAGAATTAACCCTGAACTCCGCAACTTTGCCCCCTTTATTGACCGAGAGTGCGAATAGCCTCGGGAGTCTCTATTGTAATTCTGATGGTTTTTGTATTCTGTATTGTAAAACATAATAAGAAATTTTCTTTTTCTTCCAGACAAGACTGAAACGACACAGATGGCACAAGAAAGTGCTGAAGACTAGAGATCCAATAATTGTTTCAATAGGATGGAGACGTTATCAGACCACCCCTGTTTATGCCATTGAGGACCAAAATGGAAGACATCGGATGCTCAAGTATACTCCAGAACATATGCATTGCCTTGCAATGCTTTGGGGCCCTCTTGCTCCGCCAAAGACCGGAGTTCTGGCTGTTCAGAGTTTATCTAACAATCAGGTCACATGTGAAATCTTGAAACTATGTTTTTTTTGTTCATAAGTTGCATCTGAAATCGTAGATAAATATATATTTTTTCTTTAGTTTGGTTGCGTGGAAATTGTACACGTTCAGTCTTTTTAACAACCAACCTTTCTGATATTAAAATAGTATGAATCTTTAATCATTATCATATGACAATGAAATCATTAATCTAAGGGTTGGCAATGGAATTATTGAAGGTTAAAGTTCTTTTCTTTTTCTTTGATTTGTTTGGTTTTTAAATTTACTATTTACAGTGTATTGGGAGTGGATTTTGTTTTGAACACTTTGCCTTAAAAACCCAAATTCTTGTTCCTTTCTTATGTTTTCCTTAGCGTTGTTCCTCAAGTATTATAGCTACTCATCTAGCAGCTTTCTTTGGCATGCCAGGCTGGATTTCGCATCATTGCAACGGCATACATACTTGAGTTCAACCATGCAGCACGGATAGTGAAAAAAATCAAGCTAGTTGGTTACCCCTGTAAAATATTCAAGAAAACAGCCTTCATTAAAGATATGTTCACTTCAGATCTTGAAGTAGCTCGGTTTGAGGGTGCTGCAATTCGAACAGTCAGTGGGATCCGTGGGCAGGTGAAAAAGGTAACGTTTATTCATAGACATTGAGAATCTTGAGGTTCATACGACTCTGTATTTTGTCATCAGACATGTAAACCGGCATGAACTAGTCATCTCTGACAGTGACTACTCTAAAGATAATCGGTAAAATGTGGAGAATATCCATGCTTAAGAATCTCGTTTAGAATCTTGCTTTGGCATATCATAATTAAAGCGATTTCTGCTGTCTAACACAATTCAAATAAATCCATCTCATGCATAAAGAAATACCGGTGAAAACTGATGGCATTTTATATTATCAGGCAGCAAAGGAAGAGATTGGTAATCGACCCAAAAAGAAGGGAGGGCAACCTAGGGAAGGAATCACAAGGTGCCCCTTTGAGGATCGGATTTTGATGAGTGACATCGTGTTTTTGCGAGCATGGACTCAAGTTGAAGTTCCTCAGTTTTATAACCCTTTAACTACCTCGTTGCAACCTCGTGAAAAGACCTGGCAAGGAATGAAAACTGTTGCAGAATTGAGGAGAGAACACAATCTGGCTGTTCCTGTTAACAAGGATTCTCACTACAAGGTTTTCTCGTTTATTCGGATTTATTAGGACTATTACTTTATTTCTACTGTTTTTATAGTGTATATTTGTATGTGTGTTTTTACAGCCAATTGAGAGAAAGCCAAGGAATTTCAATCCCTTGGTGATCCCCAAGGCGTTACAGGCAGATCTTCCGTTTGAATCAAAGCCCAAGAACATACCACATCGGAAACGGCCACTTCTTGAAGATAGAAGAGCTGTTGTGATGGAGCCTCATGAACGAAAAGTCCATGCTCTTGTTCAACACCTTCAATTGATTAGGAATGACAAGGTGTGTTGCTTTGTAGTGACTGTTGGCCCTATTTTTATATTTTGTATTTCCAGCCCTTGAATTTGGAATAAGCCATTTATTGATGTAAATCGATTTAAATTTGCAGATGAAGAAGCGGAAGCTGAAGGAGGAGCAAAAACGGAAAGAAGTCGAGGCACAAAGGGCAAAGGAGGAGCAGGTCTTAAGAAAGCGTCGTAGAGAAGAACGGCAAGAGAGATACCGGGAGCAGGACAAACTAAAGAAAAAGATGCACAGGCATGCCGAAGGCTGACGATACTCGTTATGCATGTAATGCATGTATATTGGATATAACATTCGGCAAATGAGGTTGATTTCATCGGCCCTAAGTTTGATCTTAAAAAGTTCAACTGGGGACTTGATGCTTTACTTTTTTCAGGTGTCGTGGTTGAATGATCAATGAATCCATGAAGTTTTGCCTCCATAGTTGGGCACATCTGCGCAATTGTTAAGTTTGTAATTTGGTACTGCACACCAAATTTTGTTGTTAAATTTAGATGATTGTTTTCAATTTTTTAGCTACATTATATTTTTCTAATAGTATTTCGTGCTCACTAATCACATTTTCCGCCCGCCCTGACTTCATTCGACATTTCTTTGTTCACGGACATCACAACTAACTACATGGAAAAACAAACAATGAACAACAACAACAACAAAACCCAATTCCCATATGTATGGGGTAAGGGAGAGGTAGGGTAGTAGGCTGCTCCCAACGCCAGGTTGAGAGTAGCTTCCGTGGAAGACCTCCGGCAGTCAGAAAATTAAAAATATAGATAAAATGCAGTGCATATATAAATAAATACATAGCTAAACAATATTCATATGCAGTCATTAAAATCATATGTGCGTCTGTAACGGGAATTAATCCCTGCATAATAATCCCTGCGAAAGAATCTCTGCATATAGACAGAAACATAAGACCCGGCTAAATTTAAAAGAGGAAACATGAAGAGAATGATACACAGAAGTCAACGATAGCAAGCGCAGTTCTAATCCTTCATAAATACCAATAACAGAAACATATAAAAAGTAGAAGTCATGGAAAATACTACAAAGACATTAAAAGAAGACAGAGATGATACACTCTATAGATGTGACCCACACTACTCGACTACCCTAGTCTTTAGCCTCCATATTTCATATTAAATAATGCTGAAAATGGTATACACACGTGCTTTCAAAGCAAAACCGATGATGGAAATGACCGAAAGCACCAAAGCCTAGAGAAAGACACCCTAAACCAACCACAAGAGCCTCTAATGCTTAAAGCGAGCTACAATTTTGTGACGTAATCTTTTCTCTCATTTTTCATTATTTATCTAGATTTTGATTATCGTCTGTTGTGATCGACTATCATTGCTCATCATCAACGACTACTGAGTTTTAAAATTTTTCATCAAACTGATTTTATCCTCCTAAATATGAATTTTGATATTCAATTAAAATTCAATAAATTAAGTGTCATTTTCATTCTTTTGTGAAATCGTTACTTTTCGATGGTCTTAAACAGTCAAGTCATACACCAAGAGTTCTCTATTGTGGTATAATGTTATTTCAAGTATAAATGGGGAAGGATGTTGGTTTCAAGTCGAAAGGCATCACACTAGGTTAGGGTTTAGGGATTAGATAATGATAGTGATAAATTTTTGAATTTTTAGATTATGATTGATAGCCAATTTAGTGTTGAGATGGTTCCATCATTAAAGACTATTATAAGAGGACATTTCTTTGAAGAAAAAAAACATTGCTGAATTTCCCCCCGAAAAGTTTCAAACTTCAAGTTCCTTTTGATTCTATTTTTCAAACTTAATTTTTTTGTTTAAACCCTCCCAATATTAATAAGCAGTCGTATTTAAATAGATAATTTGATCGTTATACATGTTTAAATACATTTAACATAAGCAAAAGTTAGTTTTAAAGACAAGTTAATTATAAAGTTTTAATGAAAAGGCTATTTTAAAGCTGCCTTTCCTTGATTCGTCCTCCATTCATCTTAAATTAAAAAACATTTAAAAAGGGAAAAGGAGAGAATGAACTTGTGGCAGGGTTTAACACCACCACACAGCTCAACCATATGCATAGCAATTAAACAAGAGTTCCATACACAGATAAACCAGAAGCAGGTTCATTACATAGTTTAATTCCACCAAAAAATACCATAAAAGTTTAGATTTTTGCTTTTATAGAAGAGATGAAATCCTTCAATCTTCCCCATTCTGCCTCAACGGTTCTCTCTTCCTCCTCAGCTGCCTTGGCATTGCCCTCATACTCCTTTCCCAATTCTTCCAACTCCTTTTTCATTTCCTTGGAACTTATGAATATCCCTTTTCGTTCAGCCAACAGGGCTGCAAGTTTTTGCTCTACCTGTTTCACCTCTGATTCCACCTCCTTATATCTAATTATATTACGATCCAAATTACGAGTAATCGTCAATTTGATTGATTCCTTCTCAGTAAGTCGGCTCTTGTCTTGCACTGCTTTCGCTGCTCGATCAGCTAGTTCTTTCAAGCTTTCCTCCACCGCCAACAACTCATTTTTTTGCTCAACTGTAAGGATGGTAGAGGACCTATTAAAACTAGCAAGGATCTTGAACACCTGCTTAAGTGAAGAAAACTGCCCTGAATTGTAAAAATCAACAGGGGTCATATTCATGGCTTCATCTAATTTAGCCAGTGCTTCCTTTGCTTCTTCTTTAGAATAAACAGTGACATAGCTTGAAAGCTCAGACTCTAAGCTAGTGAAGAATGTGTTTATATCTTCACCGGTGGGCTCTTTGGGTTCAATAGCCTGAAATAACGGAAAAGAAAGCAATGAGAGAGACACATGAATGCATTAATAGTAACAACAAATTTACTGATTTACAACAATCTGGCAACAAGGCTGAGTCGGTGGAGGAGTTGTGATATCTACTGGTTCAGTTTTCGCAGTTTTCTGGTTGTCTGTAGCTTCCTTCACACGATCAGCTTCCACAGTCTTATGCTTATCCGAATCAGTTCGGAGTATCAATTCAGTTGAAATGAGAGCTGGAGTCCTATCGGTGGAAATGTAGGCTTCAAGTAAGCATGCATCATTGACGAGATAGCCTCTTTTAGGGTCTTGTAATTCACAAAGTTCTAAGAAAGAAGTGAAGCCCCAATCGGGCTCTGAAGCTTTGAACTCATGAAGCAAGAGAGTCTATCATCACCAACTACTTGAGAAAACAAGCTAATGACAGGTTCTATTTTCTAAGATGAAAGAATGGCATTGATGACAAATTTGGCATCCATCTTCTAATGTTTTAACCATGACAAAGCTTCAAACAAGCTGAAATATTGGATAACAACGGGAGATAATAGGAGAGGCCTATTAGGAATCCGAGGTTACTGTTCTATATTGGCATTATTCACCAGTGGGCCAGGACACAGGGAATCATAATATAAGTGGTGGGACACATACATGGCATGGAAAAGGTGTAGGAGAATTCTATTCTAAAATAATATTTGATGCACTAACACTGTATCGAATTATAATCACTGAATTAGATGGTGACCCGTTGATATGCAATCATCTGAGATATCGGCAATGCATAGAATTATTCATCGTGCATCAAATAGCAAAATAGCGTTGGTGAACATATTGTAACAGAAAAAGAGGCTGAACAAAGAATCAAAAGAGATTTTGATGAGGAAACCAATTTATAAATAACTTTGTTTTCCTAAACCCTTCCTTTCAAGGGACAGAATTTTATGTTAGGGGGAGTGGACAAACCTCTAAAATTTTAGGAGATGATTTATAAAATTCTAGGGGGCAGAAAAATATATTTTACATAGAAAAATACTATGATCCTCTTTAGAATCAAATCAATATTATTCGTATTGCTAAGCACATTAAATAATGTAAAATGTGATTGCTGTAACAAAATACCTCTTGTTAAGGAATTTCTACGATCAATTTGGTTGATGACTGCAAATCCGGATTGGGCAAATCTAAGCCATCCTGAAGGCAAAGTTGCTGAATCTGCAACATCTAAATAAATTGACAAATGATCCACTTTGTTCCCCTTGGGGTAGATAACTATTCGCCTGCCAAATAAGTTTTGAAATCAAACTCATGGGGGAAGAAATGCAAATGAAAACAAAAACAAGAAGAAGGAAAATCAAAGCTACCATTTGTTGCCATCAACAGTAAAATGTTCAGAGTAGAGCTTTTTGCCTTTGATTCTGGAGAAATTCTGAATCCTCCAAGTGACCTTTGTTATTTCTCCATTGACATCATCAGACTGAGACAGTGTATCATCCACCGCATTCAAAATTTCAACCCTCCATATGACCTTGGGAAGATTAGACCCACGCTTTCTATTCACTGTATAGAGACCTCTTTTTGTCCGGGCCAAAAATATTATAATTATATTATTATTATTGTTAATTAGTAATATTACATTTGTGTAGGCTTTGGAGTCCAATCTCAAACTCAATTCAATACACTTAATCCCGAAGCCCAACAGACCCAACACAGCAAACCAGTACAAGTAGACCGGGACCCGAACCGACCCGAGGCCCAGAAGCAAGACCCGACCGATTATAGACTTTGAGGGTTGTTTGAAACCCTAAAATAAAGTCGCCGCTGACGCCTGTTCAGCTCCCAACCGCGCATACGAGTCGCGCCATCGACTCCTGAAATGCTGCCGAGCCATTGCTGTCCACTAAGCCATCAGCATCAACCTAAAAAAACATTATCATCAAATCCAACCCAAACCATAAACCAAAGTCAAAAGGTGAATATAATACCACCTAACCCTTGAAAATGTGGGATTTACCTAAACCTATTATTATCCCACCGAAAGTGGAAAAAGATGGAAGCAACCATAAAGGGGTGATTCGGGATTCAAACGAAAAGAGGAGAAGGACATCAAAGAAACCCATTCGAAAGAAAAAAACAGAGAAAAAATCGAGAGAAAATCAGAGAGGAGAGGAACTCGGGAAACAAAGAAAAACAAAACCAATAGATCTAAACAGAAACAAGGAAAAAGAGAAGGAAAGTCACCGGAATCCCAAAAGTCGAATAGATCTCTTTAGATCTGTGACTTTTGAGGCATTTTTAAACAAAACCAAACTCAGATTCTTACAGAGGAGGTAGAGACGCTTCGAGTGGTGGTCTCCTCGCTCCCTTTTGTCTCCGGCGAACGGCGATGAACGACGGTTTTACGGCGGTCGGTGTGGTTGCTCCTCGTCGGTGTTTGAGAGCTTTTTAGAGCTCTCTCGTTTGCTCTCTCTTTCAAAACTGGAAACAAATGGGTGAGGGAGGTTTATTTTGGCTATTTGTTTCATATATATATATAAATATATATAAACGACGTCGTTTCATAAGGGACTAGGGTTGTATTTTCTTGCGTGGAATAATTACTTTTTGGTTCCTTTAATATTGTAATTTCACATTTATGCCATGAAATTAAATGGGTTATCTTTATGTTCGATCTTCTTATTTTGCATGTATTTTATTTTGGTCACTTTGGTATAATATTATTTATTTTGGTTTATTTACCATGTTCAGTCCTCCATAAAGAGTATTGTTTTTGATTTGGCCATATTATATTATGCGTGTTTATTTTGACACTGTAACTTCTGTAATTTTAATTATTTTGATTTTAACATGTAATTTTATAAATTTTTATTTTAGCCCTAAATATTATTTAGGTTGTTGTGGTTAAATAGAGCTTGCATGTGTAAATATTTGATTTAAATCAATTGGGATATTTTTTTTCTTAATTTGATTTCCATTGCGTGAGTTTAGATACCAACTCTCCAGCTTTGTCAAAGTTAGGCTACAAAGCACCTAACCACTGAAGACAAGAGAAGAGCTACTTTTAATTAAATAATTATTTGTTAATATAATACTAAAAGTTTGACAGAGGAAGGTTACCTCATTTTTTCCAATAGATTATCTGTTATTTACATTTATAGTGCTTGTATTTTCATCCCTATTTACATTTCAATGTTTTATGGTTTTATTTAAGTCAGGTCACCTTATTTAAGTTTATTTATACTTAAGTAGTGAAGGTTTATATTAGTTCATTTAAATCCCGTTTGCTTTATTATTTTGTCTTTCTGTTGTTTATACATTTGTCTCATGATTTTAATGTTTCATGTTTCAGTTCCCAAGTATAATATATTGGTCTTATTGCGTTCATGGGGTTGATAGTATTTAATATTTATATGTCTTTCATAATTATTGCTTTGCTTTTCATTCGTGACCTTAAGAATAATATTAGTTAATTTAGTCAAGTGTTTATGGTTATTTATTTTTGGACTTTCACATTTGTACGGGTTGCATTTAAATCTCATATTATAATAAAGTGTGTGTTGTAACTATTATATGCATATATATATATATATATATATATATATATATATATATAGTATTTTAGGGATAATATATATATATATGTTAAATTTATTAAGTATATTATATTATTTATTTTAGAAGTTTAGTATTTTATAAAGTTCTAAAATATTAACTGCATTCTTTATGAAAATAGTTTTATTCATATTCGAAAATCTTCAAGAACAACGATTTGTAGAACGGGTGTGAAAAGTATCACTTGATCGAAGTGGTACAATCCAATACGACATTCGAACAAATACGAATTTGAAATAAATCAATTTTATTTTACTAATTAATTTATTTTACTGAAACAATGTGTTATTTTAATTCACAATTTATTTCATTGTATTTTAAGTAAAATATCAATTTTCAATTTATATTCAATTAGCGTTTATTGAAGAGGGAATATTCTTTAACAATAGAAAATTGTTGAAATAGCTTTTTCGACGGAGGATTGCAAATTTCAAGATTTTTTATCGAGTTAAAGGATTTTCTTTGAATAGTTAATTCGAAGCAAATTAATCCACGTTCAATAAATGAATCATATTTTAACTTTATATTCGATTTGTAATTTCCACCATTTCGACAACGTTTAAGCAACACAGCACCAGTTTTGGGTGTTGTGGGGGTGCTAATCCTTCCCAACGCGTAACAGACTCCCGAACTCGTTTTAATCGAATCTTTGGTAAACGTAGACCAATTTTTGTCTTAAAAAACGATTTTTCTTAAAATTATTTTTAAAAGACGTTTTTAGGTATTTGACCTACCTAATCCAAATGTTGATGACGACTCTATCCAATTTCATACAAATTAATTCAAAATCACCGAATTTTCCAAAATTAAAAGTCGTAACCATTTTTCTAAAAACAATAAACAATTGTTCCACCCTAAAAAATGGTTATGACACACTGCACTCATATTTTCAAACATAAAAAAGGGAGAAGGTTTTAGACATTTACTTGGTTTGATTAGAATTTAGGAAAGCAAAACAAAATGCGAGGGAAAGATTATAAAAGTAGAAGGGGCTATAAACGTTTGCTAATACCTTCCATTATCACGATGCTCGAAGATGCTATCTGCAGAAGCTGGAGTGGAAGAAAATTCAGGGTTTCGAAGCTACAAATATTGACGATGCAAGTCCTTTCGTTTCTTATAAAGTCTTTGTTGACTCTTGAAATACTTGGCTCTTATGCTACCTCTTTTCTATTCTTCTTTTCCTATAAAGTTTCTTTACATGTTTAAATAGTTAAACAAAGGATTTTTTTCCAGACATATGTACACTATAAAATAGCTTTGTAATTTCAGTTGTTACTTTTAATAATATTTTTTTATAATTTTATATTTTATTTAAATTAACTTTTTTATTATATTTTAATTTTTGTAAATGGCTTCCCATTAAGTCTTTGATTCTTTTATATTTTTTATCAATATTCTCTTAATTTATTATTTAAATATATTTTATAATTTTAGATAACATTTGATTTATTAAATAATATTATAATGTGAATATATATATATATATATATATATTAGACAAATTCACACTAAAACATTTAAATATCTACCGTTAAATTTGAACAAAAATTTAAAAAGTCACCATAAAATTTCATAATTTGTCTTAATTTTTTAAATAAAATTTAAACTTAAAAATAAAAATAATCAACTCAATGTTTGGTGTGGATTTTCAAATGCACTTTTAGTTTAAAAGCCCATTTTGACCGCAAAATCAATGTCAAACAGGTAAAAAATTATAAAAAAAATTTACGGTGAAAATAGTGGTTTCAAACAAACTGTAACAGTTAGGATTTGTAGCTTTTTCATTTTTTACGTTTGAAAGCAAATTATAATTTTATCCTTATTAACGCATTGGCTCCATTTACTTATGTTTACATTTAATTTTATTAGTTTAATATTAACACCCTTAAAAATAATTTATAACTTAATAATTTATTTTAATTATTTAAAATTAAATAAAATTCATGGTTTATAATTTTATAGATATTAAAATATTAATAGTGAGTTAAAAATATATTTGTATTATTAATGAGTTATCTTAGAATATTTTTTATATTTTGTTATAGTTTAAGTGATATATTATATATATCATAATATTAATAAGTATAAAATAATTTAAATTTTATATTTTTAATTTACAATATAATATCTATAATGGATATTTTATTTTTTTAAACTTACTTTTTAATAATAATTTCAAACAATTAAATTTTAAACTGCATTCCTAAATAATAATTTTAAAACTTCTTTTCTATTTTATTTTTAAAAGTCACTTTTCAAATTCTGACAAACTGAGCCTAAATTAAAATCTTTTTATTTGACTCGGTCGCTCATCCATATAATAATATTGGCTAAACTCCATCTATTAATACGAAAGGCAATTTAAATTGTAAATTAGTGTACTTGGAGGAGAAATTAGAAATAACTTTAGGTGAAAGATTGATGAGTGTTTTATTTTATTAATATTTTATTGTTAATTACTTCGTATTATCTCTTTGATATTGTTAATTTAGATTGTTTTACGTTCAATTCTGTACAAGACTTTATTTTTCAGATAACAACAATTAAATGGGGAATTCTGCATATTTTTTTTATTTTCTAGAATCAAGGTTGGACATATGGACATGACTTTGGGCATGACGATGTCAACGTGAAAGAATCTGCAATCCAATCGACATCAACTTCTAAAAAACGATACAATCAGTGGAATCAAGAATTAAGGTTGGACGGACAAAAACTCTTTAGGAATTAAGAATTGTAATTGAATTTAAATGTTTAAGAATTATTATTTTAATTAGGAATTATCTCTTTATTATTTAGGATTTTAGATTACTATTAATTAGGATTTAAGTATTTGAATGTTATTAGGTTTATCTTTAGGTGTTTTATTTTTTTTAAGTTATCTCAAGCTATAAATACCCTATAAATACTCATTAGTTGAAACTTTACATATGTATTGATTTTGGCTTTAATTGGCTTTGAGATTTTTATAAAGATTATTTTTTTCTTCATCTTCTTTATTTTCTTTATTTCTTTTATATGTTAAGTATGATTTCTATCATGTTTACTAATGGCTTAGCGACAACTTAATCTTTTTGCGAGAATTGAAAAAAATGCTTCACACCTTGATATTTATTTCTTGGTTTTCGATAATCTAGGATTGACAATCGATATTTCCTTTAAACATCTCAACACTTTCAAAAAACACGCATTGTTTGATCGGTGTTTTGATCTATCGTTGGGGAGAAGATTCGACTTGTAGCAAATTCAACTCCCTCAAAACACACTTAGCAGCGGTCTGTTAAGGGAAATCGAGATCGGGTCAAGATCGGGTTCGACTCTATTGAGACACCATAATTCAAGCACAGATTTTTCCAATACTAAAGATATCATTGGCTTTGAAAAATTAATTCACCAGAGAGAATAGTAAGTTACAAGGGTTCTTAGATAGGTAAACACTGGATGAGCAACTATTAAGTAAATTCAAAAAGATAATACATGGAAGATTTATAAAACTGATACATTTTTGTTTCAGATTCAATGGCAACCCTCTCACCGTTGAATCCCCAAAAAACCTAGGCGGCACAACGAAGAATCGTTGAATGGTGAAGGAACGACGACCCCTCTCACCGTCTTGGAAACACCGAATGCTTTGCCTTATGGCGAAACCCCATGGTCATCCTCTTACCGTGATACCCTTAAGGGTGAAACCATAACAGAAACCATGGATACCGACTTTGATGATGAGGAAATAGAAGTAATGGAAGGAGACGTTCGCAGAGTAGTTGATGATCTCATCTCCATCGAGTTCTCGAATCGGATTCAATCAGTCTTAAATAAAAGCTTCCATCAAACCATCGTGGTGAAGCATTTGGGACGCCGTATAGGTTATGGAACCCTAAGATCTCACGTTCAAGATCTCTGGAAACTCAAAAACCCCTTCCGATTAATGGATGTGGAGAACGATTACTTCCTAGTCTCGTTCTTTTCCCAGGATGAATACCTAACAGCCCATTCCGATGGCCCCTGGACTCTCTTCGGACACTATCTCACTGTTGAACCTTGGACCCCAAAATTCTCTACATCCCAAGCTTTCCCTAAACGAATTATAGCTTGGACTTCCGGTGACGTTTTACAAACGTAGTCTCATTACTGAAATTGGTGATGGTATCAGCTCAGTTATTAAAATAGATTATCAAACTTAGTATGGTAGAAGATACTTTTTTGCTAGAATGGCGATAAGCATTGGTCAAAACCTCGTTTCTAAACTGCATATCAAGGGTCGAGTTCAAATTGTTGAGTACGAATCACTTCCATCGATATACTTTTCGTGTGGAAAATACGGTCATATTCAAGACTTCTGCCCAGGGAAATGTAAGGAGCAACAAATAGAAACCCCCACAACCGCATACCCAATAGTGGTCTCACGGATTTACTTTACTGTTAAACCCGTCGTTCAACCTAGGGATGAGCATAAGACTCGAACTTGACGGTTTTGACCGATCCGATCGAGTTATATTTTTTCAAAAAATTCAGGTTCATGTCAGGTTAGGCCGGATCTTTTAGAGGTCATATTTGAGTTGGGTCGGATTCATGTTTAGAATGAAAAATACTAGACTCGAAAAAAATTATAATTTTACCTTATATATTTTGGGACAATTAAAATAATACACCTCCATATATTTTTCCCAATTAAGTCCATATTTTAATTGAATAAAATTAATATTTTTAATTAATAGTGATTAAAATTTTATCTCAAAAAGCGGGCTAGGTGAAATGTGTATAATTTTACCTTATGACACATAGATGATCGTTGAACATAAAAAACGAAAAAATGGCAGGAAAACAAACACTGCAAAGGACCCCCCTAAAGAAGCCTCGGGATCAAGATTCCAACCTATTGCGAACTCGCCTGAGGGTGAAAACCCATAGCAACCATCTAATGTTACTTCAGCCAACCAAAGTCATAACACTGAGGCTCTTTGAAAAACAAACCCTCAAATCCGCCAAAAAAAACCTCGGTAAACTTCATTGTAGATATCTACTTTCGTCCGGTACAATATATATAATACATATTATATATTATAGTATATTATATAAAATATATTATATATCATATATTTATTATATATTATTATTATAGTGTTATATATTGTATTATCTATTATTGTATTTATATTTTTTATTATATATTATTTATATAGTATATTTATATTATAATATTATATATTTCTATTTATTAAATATTATTTTTCTTTTATTTATTTTCAGGTCCAGATCCAAAGGTCCAAGAGTTCATATCCAAATTTGAAAAGCCCAACAAGCAAAGCTCACCTAACTGAGCAAGTTGCCAAGCCCGATCCAGCAGGGGTAATGTAACACCCCCAACCCAGCAAGGGTAATATAACACCCCCAACCCATATCCGACCCTGATTTGGTTCCGAGGTGTGGCATTTACTTTTCAAAACAGTTTTCCTCACAAATTAGTAAAATCTAAATCCAAAATTCGAGAAAGTAAATGATTTTCATTAGCTATAACATTTAGTCTTACAAAGCCCACCATAGCATATTCAATACAATTGTTTGAGTACATGCCAACTACAATTAATATAACAATATACGTAGATTTCCATATACTTTTCTGATCTGAACTTCGTAAAGGAGATAATGACATGTCTTGCCCTCTTAAATTTTCTTTTAGCTTTTCTTAACCTACGTGTGAAACACTCACACGCTAAGTCGATGACTTAGCGAGGCAATAAACATATAATGTAAACATTAACTAGTAATCATACATAGACAATTACTACTATCATTCCATACAACTCATATACTTTTACATGTAACAAATATATACATACACATATACGTCATTATTATTCATATCTCTTATCTCCTGTTCCTATGATTTCTTATGTCTATATTATATCTCTTATAGACTTGTTATTATATCATCATGTTATGTAAAACATATATTCTATTATAAAACACATACACACAAGCAACTATATCATCATCTTTATTCTTATCACTATCATTGATTCCTTTTTATCATATGATCTTATAATTACCATTCGTAAAATCACAT